CATTTTTGTTTATTCTGAGCTGTCTTGTTAAGGAAGGATTTTTATGCCGGCATTGATGTGGCACAGCCATCAGGCGGTGTTTTCTGCCCCTGGCGGCGGTGTGATAGTTCGCTTCCAGTGAAGCTGGACTCCCCGTATCGGGAAGCTGTCAGAAGTGGGAGCATGAACAGGTCATGGCAGGTGGCTGAGGATCGGTGCATAGGGGGAGACCTGGTAAAGGAGGCCAATGGCCTCGCTTGTTTCCGGAGGAAGGGGCTGACCCGGGCTCTGTTGTTCCTTACCTGCCATGGCTGGTAGGGCGGAGCCTCCGGGCACCACTGTGAGGGAGGCACAGGTTGGGCGTAATGGAGCCCTTCCCAGCAGCTCAGTCTTGGGTACTGAGACCTGCCAGATGGAATAAGCTTCAGTTGCCATCACTTGTCATGATTATCCGGGACAGAATTCAACCATGCTGAATTCTGAAATGGAAACCCCCCCAAAAGTCAACTTTTAAAAAGGTTTGGATTTATTTGGGTAAAATTTTATTTGGAAATTCATTACAGAAAAGGAAAGGATGTAGCTAGAGTTGACCACCGTTGCCAGTTTGCAGCATATCCTTTTCATCTCTTTTCTATAAATGTTTTTTCTGTACTTTTCACATGATGTAAGAATTTCTCCAAGTCAGGCTTTCCTCACACATAATTTTTCTTGGTTGTGTTCTATTGCGTCATGGTTGGATTAGCTAATCCTCTGTTGTTGGCCATTTAAGTTGGAGAAATACAAACAACAAAAGCAGGCTTCCCTTGTTTTCTTGGACATATGTTTGTGATTTGAATTTCTTAAAACTAGTGCATAGCAACACTTTGAGGAGTGCCTCTGCCTTTCTTTCAGTGTCTTTACTAAAACTTCAGTCAGGGAAATCAAAACCATGTTCAGCGGCCCAAAAACACAAAAGAGTACTGATAGGATTTCCCATGTACGAACAGAAATAGGTGTGCACCTATTGTCACATTTGAATATCTCTTTGTTCCTTGGTGAAAATTGAGAGAAGACTAAAACTGGGTGGGCAGAGTTCCTCATTATGTCCTCTTGACTCAACTGAATGAGTCTGTGCAGAGCAATGCAAAGAACCATATTTGGGAACCAAAAAGCTGTGGGTGTGAAAATGGCTTTTCCACTTAGAAGCTCCCCAGCCTTAGACAAGCACCTTCCCCTCCCCTGGGGTGTGCTGTGTGAACACGCGGCACAGTTCCTGTGGAATAGTGTAGTGGCTGAGAGGACACCCTCCGGAGCCACATTGCCTGGCTTTCTCACTTTTTAGCTGTGCAATCTTGGACAAGTTACTTAACCTCCCTGTTCCAGTTTCCTCCTCTATAAAATAGGGATAAGTACAGTAACCAACTTTATAAGGTTGTGAGACTTGAAACCCTTACACAAAGGGTTTCTAGCCATGCTGGCACATGGTTGATGCCAGTTAATGTTTACCCCTCTTTGCCCCTGGCCTGGACTGAGGCACCAGCCTCCTAACTGGTCTCCTCTCCGCCAGCATGCCTCCTCCTTCCAACCAAAAAGGAGACATCCATCGGACTCCCAGGTCAGGGACAAAAGAGGTCTCTGCTGCCAGGCTGGATTCTGCAGGCGCTCTCTTCAGCAGTGGGGGCTGGGTGTGCTCAGGAGCCTGGGCTCCTGCCGTGGATTGCCTCCAGCCCCCCGGGGCCAGAATTAGAGAGCTGCCACTTCTCCAGCCAGAGCCAGCAGGGTCCCGTGGGGCCGTGGGCCCTGCTTGAAGACACTGAGACTCACACACACCTCAAGGAGGATGAGATTATTTAATTGTACAAAAGGATTTTCCCATCAGGAAAGATTCCCCTACAGGTTCCTTTAAATAGTGACTCCTCTAGGCAGGCGAGGGTTTTACAGATCATTAACCACTTGACTGAGAGCCTGCAGGGCAGAGAAACTTAAAACTCAAGTGTTGGGGGCCCCTGCCAATTACAGATCAATCCAAAATGAAGATAAAGTATCTCTGGAACTAGAAGTCAGTGGGAAATGTGATTTGATTCAGAAAAAAATCTGATTTACGTGCACCTTTTTTGGAACACGCCAATTGTTTAAGTGGTGTTCCACCTGCCTGCCCATCTTGAACCTAATGCATTCATCTCCCACGTCTTCATCCTCAAACCCCAGACTTGGGGTTCTCCTCTCTGAACAGTGACTGCACAATAACCCCAGGAAAGGGTGTCATTGGGAAAGTGTTCTTGTGGCTGCACAGAGCTTGGGCAATTGATGTGGAGATATAGCCTGTAATGGATGAACTATACTGTAACAATTTGCAGATAAAAATAATAGAAGTTAAAGTGTACTTTACATGATAAAAGAAAGATGAAAGAGGACTAAAGTCTGTTACATCTGAGATGGTTACAAAAGCCCTGCTTTGTGAAGTAGGCTCTGTTGAAAAGATTGATGCCATGGGGAGTGACCTTGGCTCGGAGCAGGAGCTGGTGATGTATGTATGAGCATCCCCCTGCTAAATGGACCCAGATTTGTAGCACTAATATACATGGGAGCCCAGAACCAAACTCAGGACGGCAATAAATCAACAGCCACTTTGGGTGTCATTTCTGGTTTATATTCCACTGTTGTTCTATCACTTTAATTCATGTCACTATCATCTTTTCATCTGGAACAGTTTTATATAATTTTCCAGTGGAGTTACCTGACAAATCCTATCAAATTAACAAGGTACATTAACAATATTGACTGACTACGGCTTCAGGAGTTACAGGGCCGTAGAACAAAATTTTAAAACCCTGTCTCTCTGGTGATGATTTTTTCCCCCCTTCTCTCTCTGAGAAAGAAATGTGGGCAGGTCTGTTCCACAGAAGAGAGATGCACATTTATTTTGCTCTGCTCATTTTGACTTTTATAAATGTCAGAATAATCAGAAGAAGGAGAGGGGACCAAAACAAAACAAAACACTTGCTCCCAACAACCATGGCGTAAGTACTTCTCTTCTGTCAGGGAACTATAGACATGTCCAGACCTTTAACAATTAATGACCAAATTGGAGGAAGAGTGTAACTGGGTGGTCATAATCTGTTTTAAGTGAAATGTAATAAAACCGGTCTCCTGATACATTCTTGCCCTCCTGAAATCATCTAGACCCGAGCGTCCAGAGTCCATTGGACTGATGACATTATGCCTAATTGAAATATGGTGTCCCTGAAATATGTCTAATGACAAATTCCAGCATGCGATTAATAAAAAAATACCAATTGTTTGTCTTTTCCAAAGACCACAGAATAATGGCCAGGGAAGCAACCGTATTGCACTGTCTCCGAAGACAGCTGACGAGACTCCCTGTAGTCTCCTGCCTTTGTCCTGTATGTGGGATTTCTTTATTCATAAGATAAAATAGAACCAAATGGAGTCTATGGTAGACCTAAGCATTAGGATTTTGTTTGTGTATGTTTTCTTTCTGTTTTGTTTTTTAATTTGCTTTGAGACTGTGGTCATTGTGAGGGTTTTGTGGGGTTTTTGTTGTTGTATTTTTCTAATTGAACTGTTTTTTAATCTGCTTTTTCTTTTGGCCTGCTAAGTGTTCTCACATTACATTGAAACATTTCTAAGGGTGATCCAGAGAATGAAATATATTACCTCTGGTTGTCTTTTCTATTACAGTGCGCACATTTGATTGTTTTATTCCTAATATCTTTACTTCATTTTGCTCTTTTCACTTTAACCCTGACCTTTAAACTATGGCCTGAAAATTAATTACTTTCAAGACTCCATCTGGGGCCCACTCTGGCAGGCATGTTGGAGGTTTTTGTCTCACTTCATGAACAGAAATCCTCAGTTTTCAGCAGAAAAGGAAAGAGAGCATCTGGCCTGGGTTGTGTGTGTCAGGCTGAACCTATACAGCTCGTGACCAGGGAGCAGCGCTGTGCACGTCCACTGGTACCCAAGACACCCTACGTCCTGGGCGCCACCTGCGTCCTGACACCTTTGCTTGCAGTCCCTGCGCAGTGTGGCACGTCTGTCTCAATTCTGAGGGGGAACCTGAAGTGCCAGGATGTAACTTTCTGGATCCCTGTTAAAAAGTCCTGTGGCATAAAGCCCACCCCCTGCTGACTCTCCCTCCGTGGAGCAGTGACCTCCACAGCCTGAAGTCAGGCTCCAGCACTTAAACTTGGACGGCTTTATGTGAAGAACCTTTGATCCTCCTGCGACTTCCTTTAAGTCTAGCGTGGGTAATGTCAGAGAAGGGAAGAGAGGTTTTTCCCATTTTTAGTTTGTGAGATTTTCCAATTAGAAACTTCATTGATAGCTTGGCCATTTAGGCTAATGTTACATATAGGTGATAGTATAGATTTATCTCCAACCCAGATCTTATTCTAAAATAACAAAAAAGACCACTGGGAGGTGGGGGGGGGGGGGGGGAGGTGGCTCAGTTGGTTGGCGCGTGCATCATCCTGTAACCAGAACAGGTTGCGGGTGTGATCCCGCATGCAGGAGGCAACCGATGGATGTTGCTCACACATAGGAAGCATCCATGTTCTCTCTTTCTCTCTCTAATCAAATATGTATACATATATATTTCTTTATATCCTCGGGTGAAGTTTACAAAAAAAAAAACACAGACCACTGATCATAATTGGTTTTTAAATGAGCCTTATAGTTTATGTAATTGTAATATATAGATGATGTAGGATTAACACAGTGTAAGTAATTGTTTCTGTGTTATATCTACGAAGGCATATTTCTTAATACTTTTTTTATGTAATTTTTGGTTGTCCACCCCCTCACCTCACCCACTCGAGAAACCAAACTGTGCAGCTTCTGTATGCCATTCGGAGTCTACTTATGTCTGTCTTAAGCCCATGGCCTTCCCCAGAGCCCTAAGAAAGAGCTCGTGTACCTCCAATGTATGATTTACAAAGCAGGTCGAATGATTAAACTGAAATCACTTACACCTTCCACTTCTTGTGGCTTCTTTTTTTGTCCTCCCCTCGGCCTTACAGGTATCTCTGGAGACAAAGTAGAGATAGACCCTGTTACGAATCAGAAAGCCAGCACTAAGTTTTGGATTAAGCAGAAACCCATCTCAATCGATTCTGACCTGCTCTGTGCCTGTGACCTTGCTGAAGAAAAAAGCCCCAGTGAGTAGTCCCTTTTATTTATGTCTCCTTTCTCTCTCCCCTCTTCCCTGTGTGCTGGGTGCCAGGAGAATATATCACCACCGTGTCCTTTTTTCCTTGGGTCTGTTTAATTCATTACCAGAAATTTCTTTTAATCAAATGGGATTGTGTTATGGTGCCCAGAGCCTGACATGGTCCCCCCCCCCCCCCCCCCACTCCGTCTTGATGGCAGCGGAGAACCTCACAGCTCCTGACCCCAGGAGCCTCGCCTGGGCGCCGGGGGAGGAGGGGCCCTTCCTGCTGACTCTGTGCTGTCACCAGAGCCCTCGCTTCCCTTGGTGCTTCCTGCCTCTTCCCTTCCGGGGGACGTGGCCAGTTAGTCCTGGACCTGCCTTCCTTCCCTGCCAGATCGGGGAAGCGGGAGATTTCCTCTGTCAGCTGAAGACTAGATTTAGATATCCATCATGCCGAGGTGTCAACACCCTCCAGATTATTGGCAGTTGCACGACCTACCAGCTCGTAATTAAACTCCTGCCTGGTCCTGCAGAAGAGATCGCTGCGGGTTGGCCATTCTCTGTGTAAACTATGAAAGTAGATATAGTCTGGTTGTATATTTGGGCATATTATGTTTTTGCAGTTTAGTAATTGAGTGTCGCAGTTAGGTTAATCATTTTTAGGACTTCAGTGGCATTGAGGGGCAGAAAGGACACAGATCACACTGAAATTCCTCCGTGGAAGAAAAAATTTTAAATATAGAAGGATTTGTTAGTTGCCTAGAGAAGGCTATGAGACAGTGGTTCTCAAAGTCTGGTCCATATTAGCATTGCCAGTGGAGTTTACCTAAAATGCAATTACTGTCCTCGCTGGTTTTTCTCAGTGGTTAGAGCATTGACCTATGGACTGAAGGGTCGTGGGTTCAATTCTAGTCAAGAACACGTACCTCGGGTTGCAGGCTCGAGGCCAGGGCACGTGCAGGCAGCAACCAATCAATGTGTCTCTCTCACATTAATGTTTCTCTCTCTCTCTCTGTCTCCCCCTCCCTTCCACTCTCTAAAAATCAATGGGGGAAAAATATCCTCATGTGAGAATAAATAAAAATGTAGTTACCCACTGCCCACCCCAGTAGGTTCTGATTTGGTAACTTGGAGTATAACTTAAGCATCTAATTTTTTTAATATATTTTATTGATTTTTTTTTTACAGAGAGGAAGGGAGAGGGATAGAGAGCCAGAAACATCGATGAGAGAGAAACATCGATCAGCTGCCTCCTGCACACTCCCTACTGGGGATGTGCCCGCAACCAAGGTACATGCCCTTGACCAGAATTGAACCTGGGACCCTTGAGTCCGTAGGCCGACGCTCGATCCACTGAGCCAAACTGGTTAGGGCTTAAGCATCTATTTTTTGTTGTTCCCCTTTTTACCAGTGTCCACTAAATTTGAGAACAATGTTATAAGGCGTGATAAGAGATGTAAAGGCCCACAAGTGTTTATAATGTGGTTCCAGTTTTTGAGCTAATACTGACTAACAGGGGCCTAAAGAGCACAGAGCCCCCTGCAGGCTGGGCACATGCCGCCAGCCTCGTTTATGGATGGGCATGTCACTGTTCCATCCGTTCCAGTTGTGCTGGGCTGCATAGTCTTCTCTTTCAATTCATTGGCTACAGCTTGGCAAGAAGGGAGAACTTAGTGGTATAGGGCAGTGGTCGGCAAATTCATTAGTCAACAGAGCCAAATATCAACAGTACAACGACTGAAATTTCTTTTGAGAGCCAAATTTTTTAAACTTAAACTATATAGGTAGGTACATTGTTATTAACTTAATTAGGGTACTCCTAAGCTAGCCTTTGATAAAAACGCCCTCAATCTGATTGAGGTACGTTCGCTGAGGTCGACCCTTTCCAACTCTCCCATCCACATTCGTCTTGCATACTTGTTTTGTCTATCTCCTTTCGTTCATCCTCTCTATATGTCCACCCCCCACTTCTTCTAACACCACTTCTTCAAAATAGACTTGCCCTGGCCGAAAACCGACTTCTCCGGGGCCACGAAGTTTCACTCGCACTGTAGGTGCGCACCCACACATGGTATTTTGTGGAAGAGCCACATTCAAGGGGCCAAAGAGCCGCATGGGGCTCGCGAGCCGCGGTTTGCCGACCACTGGTATAGGGGGAAAGGAGGAAGGCCAAGCCCACCCTCCTTCCCACCATTCCAGTGAGGCCTTGACTGCGATGGCTGCCGGAAGGGGCTGGTGAAAATATTGCCTGCTGCTCTTGGGCCCTTGCCCCAGGGCTGCCCAATTCCCCCTGCTTTTAAATAAACATCTTCTTCCTAATCCCTCTCACTCCAGCTTGTCGGCCAATAAAGATGTCATTGTTCTAGCATCTTGTCTTGTCTGGGAAGCTCTTTATATGTCCTTCGATTCTAAATGATAGCTTTGCTGGGTAGAGTAGTCTTGGTTGTAGGTCCTTGCATTTCATCGCTTTTAATATTTCTTGCCGAGTCCCTTCTGGCCTACAAAGTTTCTATTGAGAAAACAGCTGATAGTCTTAATGGGAACTCTCTAAGTGCTTTTCTTTAAAAAAAAATAAATAAATTTTTCCTCTTAATCCTCACCTGAGGACATGTTGAGAGAGAGGGAGAGAGAAACATCAATGTGAGAGAGAAACATCAATGAAAGAAAGAAACGTTAATCAGTTGCCTTCTCTTCAAACCTGCAATGCAGGTATGTGCCCTGACTGGGAATCAAACCAGCAAGCTTTTGGTACATGGAGAATACTTGACCAACTTAGTCACTCTGTCCAGGCCCAACTGCTTTTCTTGCTGCTTTTAAGATTCTCTCTTTGTCCTAGCAGTTTGGCTCAGTGAATAGAGGGTCTGCCTGTGGACTGAAGGGTTTCAGGTTTGATTCTGGTCAAGGGTACATGCCCTGGTTATGGGCTCTGTCCCCAACAGGGTGTGTGCAGGTGGCAGCCGATCAATGATTCTCTCTCCTCATTGATGTTTCTAGCTCTCTCTTCCTCTCCTTTCCTCTCTGAAATCAATTATATATATATATATTTTAAAAAAAAGATTCTCTCTTTGTCTTTAGTGTTTTGCATTTTAATTATGTGTCTTGGTGTGGGCTTCTTTGGATTCTCATACTATTTGGGACTCTGCACTTCCTGGACTTGTAAGTCTGCCGGGGTCCAACCCCAGCAGGTCCAGGGGTTCCCAAAGGCGTAGACGGAGTCGGCGAAGAAGGAAGGACACGGAGACAGTGTTCAGTTGATCAGCAGCCTAGCCAGGATCTCCAGAGAGGTTCTGCTGTTTATTGTCTTGTTACATCCGTATTTATACCAGTTGATTTTAATCCTGTCAATTTCTATTACAAAGGTTAGGGTGTTTCTTATCTCCATTCCAGGGAGTAAAGATTATGTAGCTTAAGCATGATTGTTTGTAGTTAAAGTGATTAACTACCCGCCTGGCACTTAGTTAAGGAGTTTCATCCCCTCCCTAACTTCAGGGAAAAATCCCTACCTGGGGAAACAACCTTTCTCCGAGAGGTGACCTTGGTTAAAACACACAGCGCTAAGGGGAGCAAACATATTAAGAACAGTATGCTATATACGCCAGGTCCCTTGAAACATATGCTGTGCAGATGTTTCTATCCTGCAGCGACTGTGTCAGGCAGCAAGGATGGACCGACTTCCGGCATAAGTCTTCTTCCTTTATGGTTAGGGAAATTTTCTGTCATTTTTCCAAATAGGTTTTCAATTTCTTGCTCTCTCTTTTTTCCTTCTGGCACTCCCATGATGCAAATGTTGGTATGCTTGAAGTTGTCCCAGAGGCTCCTACACTGTCTTCATTTGGGAGATTTTTTTTTCTTTTTGCTCTTCTTTTTGGTTCCTTATAGTTCAGATCACTAAAAAAAATTCTTGAAAGTTACAGGCTTACAAATATTTCAGACTCCTCAGCATAGCCTTTACAGACATTGACACTCCAGGCTCATAGCCCATAACTTCCCATCCTGAAATGTTGTGCTTTTGCTGTTCCACATGCCTGGAATATACCTGCAACCTGGCCGTCTAACTCACGTTCACTTCCATTACCTGTGCCCAGCCCACTCATTCTTCAAGATCCAGCTCAATGCCAGGCTCTCCCTCTGCCAGGAGTTGTGCACACTGCTGGTAACACACCTCCCACACTGTGCTGTGCTTATGTGGGGTCTGCCCCTCTGTCCCACCCCTCTCCATGCTGCACTGATTGGCCCAGGACCTGGTTTCTGTATCCTCAGGCCCTAGCACAGTGCCTGCAGAGGTGTCCTCAGGGAATGTCTGCTGTCTTGAAACTGAACTGAATGAGGCCAGAATTTAGAAACCCAAAGTTATTCAACATAATTTATGTTTAAAGTGCCCAAACAAAGATGTATTAAATGAATCGGCTTGATGCTGAGTTTTTTTTATGATTTCCAGTATCTTCATCAAATTAATTCAGTGAGTTAATCTATAAAAAGTTCATCTTCAAGACCATCATCAGACCACAGAATTAATCTACTGAACTGCTGCTGCTTTTTTTAAAGGATTAATGGTAACCCTTCTTATCTTTTGTGTCTGTTGAACCTTAGAAAAAAGTTATTTTAACAGCACTAAAGAAATGAAAGTCACTATATTTCATAAGTTTAGCCTGTGATTTTTATCAGCATAGTGATGTATGTTTGTAGCTGAGTTTACATCAAAAATTATTCTTAGGGCCTTCTTGAATGAATTATGGCAAAGAGAGAGAGTCTAGAAGTAGATAAGGTTTTTGATTTCTGCAATATATTTCCTTTTTCATGTTTTTATCTCCTGTAACACAAGTGTCTTGCTGAAGACTAGAATGTGTGACCAACTAAAATAATTTCGTTGTGAACACAGAGCGAACGTGTTATTAAACAGCCTTCTTCACAAAAAGGGAGGATAATGAAGTTGTTCCTGGTCTTACTTGAGACGTGTTTGTCAGGATTTTGAACAAAAAAAGAAATGATTTTTAAAAGCCTTCAAAT